TTTCCGGTATTTGAGGTAAACGAGCGAGGGCTTTCATCTCACCACGACACCACCTACACTGATGTTTCTTTCGGTCTAATTGATTGATTCAATCAATTCCAGCCCGGGTGTCAGGCGAGAATCCAAGATTGGAGGCCGAGGGTTCACCAATAATTCCCCGGAGCTGAGTACCAACAAAGGGAGTTTGTTGCGAGGTCGCAGCAGCCGCGTCGGGGAGAAGCGGAATTCATTCTTTGCTTGCGCTCCAGAGGATGCTGGCTTCAATTTGGAGCAGAAAACAGGACAAACGTTCGAAGCCGATGCCCATTCTGCACTAAAATCGTGCTCTGGTATTGGGAGTCTAGTTATAGCCAAGTGCTCTCACATATTTGAGAGAAATGGGGACACCTTTGATGGGAAGTGCGGCTTGCAAGCTGTTCTTAAGCCTGGTTTATGGCTCTCACCGGAGACCCTCCGCCGGTTTTGGCGTGTCTCTGAGCTGAAGCCTAAGGATTTTCTTGACATTTTGATTGGTTTTGGACCTGGCGCAGCAGAAGTGAGAAATGTAAGATTTCTATGGAATTTGTACAGGTGGGCATCGCAGCAGAGCAAGGAGTTCCAACATCTGCCAAGGTCGAATGAGACGATGGTATCCATACTTGCAGATGCTCATATGCTCAGTCAAGCTGAATCGCTACTGCTCTCATTGGTTGATCATATGGCTCTGGCTGTTTCAAGTGAACTATTCAGTCAGATTATCAAGGCGTATTCAGAGGCACGCAATCTTGAGAAATCAGTTGCACTTTATGATTATGCAAGGAGCAAGCATTTGATTCCTTCAGCTTCATGCTATCAAGTACTTCTTCATTTTCTAACCAGAAACAGAAAGGATGAATTGATTTTAAGAGTATATTTGGACATGCTTGAAGTTGGATTCGGTTCGTGCACCAAAGGAGATATTCTTGATTCTGTTGTCATGGCTTTAATCAAGAAAGGTAAACTTTTGCAAGTTCTTGGTATTCTTCGGCAATTGAAGAGTTTGGGTCTTAAATTAAGCAAGGGAGCCTTGTCAAATATAGTTGAAGAATTTAACAAGAAAAAGGATATTGGGGATATGATGAATTTCTTGGAAGAGTGGAGGTGTTTACCGGAGTTGCGTCTTTGCAACAGAATCCTTGCGTCTTCGTGCACAAATCTTGGTACTGATCAGGCATGGTTGGTCTTCCAAAGATTGGAGGCCTTAGGGTTTGCTCCAGATGCTACGACTTTTGGAATCTTCATCTTTCATAGCTGTAGAGAAATGAAACTGAAATCTGCACTTGTATATTTATCAGAGTCCTTTGCTAGGCATGTTAAACCTGGAGTGCGTGCTTATAATGCTATTTTAGGTGGTGTTTTCAGGGAGGGACTATATAGACATGCAAAGTATGTCTTCGAAGACATGGTTGAAAGAGAAGTAACACCCAATCTTTCAACATATAAGATAATTCTTGCAGGATTTTGCAGGTATAGGCAGTTTGATGATATTGAACAAGTCTTGAGGGATATGAAAACCAATGGTGTAAATGTTCTTCCCTCTGGAAACTGTGTGCTCTCTAAGGCCTTATCATTCTTGGGTCTAGATCACCTAGGGGTGAAAATCAAGAGAGATAATGCCACTGGTTTCCCAAAAGCTGAGTTTTTTGATTCAGTTGGCAATGGACTGTATTTGGACACTGATTCCAAAATGTTTGAGATTTCATTGACACAGATTCTGGATAGTGCACTTCACCCAGATATTAACTCAGAGCTAGTCAGGGCATCTCAGCAAGGCGACGTTGCAAGTGGTCTTCTTGTGAAAGATGAAGCTTTGCAATGGGGATATGACATTTCACCAGCTAGCTACTCTGAGCTATTCAAGGCCTTATGTGTGAGCCCTGCTTATGTAATAGATGCCATTGACCTTATGGAGGAGATGCCAGATATATTTTACAAACTTGATGCTCAAACTTTAGATTTGGTTGCCCAAACATTGAGTAGGAATGGGATGTCTGCTCATGCAAAACTGGTTTTAGAAAAAATGTTGAGAGAAGACTTGTCAATCAGTCACAACACATATACTTATTTAATGATAGGCTTATGCGAAGAAAGGAACATAGCAGGGTTTTGGGAATGTTGGAATCTTGCAACAAAGTACAGATGGTCACCTGATAGCAAGGATATGATGGACCTCATCAGCTACTTGTGCAAATGGGGAGTGATTGAGGAAGCACTGAAACTTATGAACCCTTTATTTGACTGCTATCATGATCTGTTTTTCAGTGCATATTGTGCACTTCTCAAAGAGTTGTGCAGGACAGGTCATACCAGCATTGGATGTGCAATGTTGGAGGCTCTCAAAGAAAAGGGTGTGGCTGTGGATCAATCATTATTCTTTTATGTGATGGAGGGCTTCCTAAAGGAGCAGAAGACTGCTGAATCAATTGGAATGTATGACATGTGGCTTAGCAAAAGCAAAGAACTAGATGCATTTGCTTACCGATCCGTGTTGCCTTCATTACCATGGCTGGATGCAGATCGAGCCAAGAACTTGGTAGAATCTATGCTGACCGTGAAACTTACTGAATTCTCATATTGCGGTTGCATCGTGAAGGAATTAGTGCAAACAAGGAATATAAAGTGGGTTGTGCCAGTCTTGCAAGAATCAACTCCTGGGAAGTTCAGTGCCACTTTGTTAAATTCTTTACTTCAAGTCTATAGTTGGCTAAAAAATTGGCGAAAGTTAGATGCAGTTCTTTGCAAGATGCTTAAGATGCATGACACCCTTTCTATATCTAGCTACCGCTTTCTTGTGTGCAGAATGTGTGAGCAAAGTCGTTTTTCTAGTGCTTCAAGCCTTAGAGCACTGTTCCAACATGCTGACAAGTCAAGAGAACTAATTGCATGCAACATTCTAATATTTTATCTTTTTCAAAGAAGAAACAGCTCACAGGTTCATGATTTATTGAAGGACATGGAAGGTAATGGTATTTCTCTCGACAAAACCACCTATGACTTCCTTGTCTACGGGTTTCACAAATCCAGGGATACCAATGATTCAGTTAATGCACTTGATGCCTGTATTGCTCAGGGACTAAAACCAAGCAACCGCAGTCTCAGAATAGTGTTAAGTCATTACTGCAGGCTAGGAAACCTTGAGAAAGCACTAGCATTATTTCACTTGATTGAGTGCAATGGATGGAAGCATGGTTTAATCATTAAGACCACCCTCACTTCACGTCTCCTTTCATTAGGGAGACAATTGGAAGCAAAATCATGTCTGAACAACCTGAGCAAAAGTGAGTTTATCGGATGTTCAAGCAATTTTGATGATCTAATCAAGGAATTCTGCATACTAGGAGATTTGAAAATGTCTCTTTATCTGCTAAATACAATGCTAAAGAAAGGAAGACTTCCTAATGAAGCCAGTTACAGTTCTGTTATATATAAACTTTGTATATTGAAAGAGTTTGATCAGGCACTTGATTTTCTTGCTGAAATGCAGTTTGCAAGTCTAAAACCAAGTGAGATCTCCTGTGATGCACTTGTATGTGGCCTTTGTGCCATGGGAAGAACTTCTGATGCTAGGATGGTTTTGGAAATGCTAACCACCTTGGGATCTGAACCATCCTATGGCATGTATAAAGTTGTTTTTGATAACTATTGCAGAAGTAGCAATCTACAGAAAGCTGCGGTACTTCTGCATGACATGCAACAAGCAGGACAAGTGCCCAACTTTGAGATGCATTGGTCTATTATAAGCAATTTCAGCAGTACCAATGAGAAAACTGAAGGACATGGAGAGCCCATTTTGAAAAACCTTTTTCTTTCTGCAAATCCCCCATAAAGGTCATAAGGCGATATATGGTTTCCAGAAAATGGTGAACTGATGATTGTTGTCAAGTTGAACCCTAGTGGAACTGATAAAACTCAGTGAAACCAAGGTTATGCAACACTGGGACTAGAACTTTCTACTCTAGGATCGATGGTTCACTGAAATGTGGGAATACATAGGAAAAACTATGCACCTTTGATTTAAGTAGCAAAAGAGGGAGCTTGAAGTCATTACCTGAGCCATCACAACTTTGTTCCTGCAACTTGGCTACAGGTTGTGCCCCTGCTAAAGGGATCATGCAAAGGTAATATCATCATCTCTCTTAAGAACGAAAAGTTGGCTTTTCATTACTGGCATTGTGGACTACCGTTTTTGTGTTAAGAGACAACAGTGATATTGTCACCCCAGCAAAGGTTTTTGCTCCTGCTTTTTGTTCCTTCAATATACGTATGCATAGTCAGTTGCAGCTGAGGTTTCTTTCCCTGTGGTGTTGTGGGCAGCAGGTTAGCAGCTGTGAGTGAGAGATAACCATGCCACCTCTTCATCACAATTGTGATTTGTGAGGTACTACTTCTCCTTTATAGCAAACTATTGGTGGTATCAAATGCATGGATGACATTTTGTTTAACAATTCTGCTAGTGTTAGTACCAGTGCAACTTTTCTGGATTAACATCACCATTACAAGATTATGATCTGTCTATCTGAATCCTGCATTGTATATAGTATATGGTGTGTGCTTAATTTTTTGGGGTTTATTATGTCGTTTGATGTTTTTTCCCCTCTAATGTCGTGTAAGGCCTTTGTATTTCCTTTTTAGAAATTTTTTTCTCCACTAAGTTACAAAATTAGACATGTAACATATAGGGATGTAATGCCTGTTCTGGTCTGTTTGCCACAATAGGTGAGATTGCCTTGCTGGGTAATCAGGACTCAAAACATATATGGTGTGCTTGGATGAGGCGGATTGCTTTGAAATAGGCTCTAGTTAAAATTTGAACTGAATCATAAGAATTTGAATCCTAGACCCTCCCTGACTCCCTGTTCTAACTTCTAAGTGGATGTTACAGTAGAAATTGGCATGCTAAACTGTTTATGGTACATACACCGTTGGAGACACAGCCTGTCCAGCGAATACTCAGTGAGCTCGGCACACCAGACCTTCCATGGCTAGTCATCTTGAACCATTGCTGGACTGCTGACAGGCTGGCCAAGTGCAGCATGGATGCTGTACCTGGCAAGTTGCCAACTCTGCAACCAGGCTGACGAATATACATAAAGCATCTGCTGACCACCTATGTGTTTGCGTAAGAGGTCTAGCATCGCCTCTTCATCCGGTATGGCCTCCCAGCCCAAGCCTTAAATCGGACAGAAAGAGAGTTCGCAGAATGGTATTACAAGGCTGAACTTATCCTTAGCAAGGAAAAGTGCAAAGGGTTCAATTCGCTGGTCATTTTGGCTGCCTGGAACATTGAGAAGCACCAGAATGACTGTGTTCAACAACGTCTGGCCATCAGTTCAGCGCCTCTTGCAGTAGGTGATTCGGTGAATGACAGAGTATAGCAGTGGTGCCTTGCAAGCTGTTCTGGTAGGAAGTAGTGGGTAGTTCTAATGCTAAAGGTAGTTAATGGTTTTTACAGGCACGAATGTTAACTTATGAAAACTTAAAGTCAGCTTCAACAAACTCTATTTCCTAATCCATTGACATGCAGTTCTTTGTGTTTGAGAAAAAACTGCATATGGTAACTGATAGCGTCATTTAAAATTCTTTGATATTTAGAAATCCATACCCATTTTATGCTTATTAGCCCTCAAATTTTTAAACATAGGGCCATTATAAGCACATATGGGCCATAATCTTTTGAATACTCAGCTTCCATGCACACACATCAAAACTAGAACTGGGCAGTCTGCAGCATACTGATTTAGTCGATTGTTGGGTTCGAAGGGCGGGCCTGGTGCAAGCGGTAGAGTCTTACCGCCTGTGACTGGAAGGTCCCGGGTTCGAGTCGCGGTCTCCTTGCATTGCACAGGCGAGGGTAAGGCTTGCCACTAACACCCTTCCCCACACCCCGCACAGAGCGGGAGCTCTCTGCACTGGGTACGCCCTTTTTTTTGGGGGGGTTCGATGGGGCCATCATCTCTGTCCATTTTCGGTGAAGCATCACTTGCATTTGAGATATCAGTAGGTGGGTCAAGGCTCTTAAGTTCATATTCTTCCAACCCCTTTTCTGCTGCTTGACTCTCAATCTGAACCCCATTCCTTTTCAGAGCATCTTTGAACTTATGAATCTGAAACAGTATGAACTTCTTAGTTTAAAAATAGTTTAACAGTGTGTATACAGATTTGACCATCCAATCTTACAGTTGAAATTGTGCAGCTGAAGCTACAAATACGACCTTCGGTGCCTCTGTAAAAGCGGAACAATGGCAAGACACAGACATGGAGCCTCTTACAGATCTGTTTGTTCATTATAGTTGACCATAAGAAATTCCAGTCCTGGATGCATCTCGGCAAACTGATGTACCTTTTTGGAAATTTGACAAAAAGGTATTATATATTATTTTATGGTAAGACATGTAATTGTTTTTCCTTTTGATAATTGTAAAATTGTTGAATCTACATGCTTGTCTTCTTTTACCTTAGAGTGTAGGGCCTTGCAAGCTCCACAGCTAGGTGAAAAGAAGTGCACCACTGTGAATTTATCTCTGGCCATCAGAAGCTGTTCATCAAAATTGTCCTGTGATTTGATATTTATCATGTTGTCCTTCATGTCTATCTCCCACCACTTTGTTTTCATACGGAGGTGAATGCCCTAATACCATGAGTAAATATCACTGCCATCTTTGTCATGCTTCAGAATGTGTTGTAATGAATGTCTGGGTTCTATCATTTTTTAACGTAACTATTAGATTTCTTTGTTTCAATACAAATTTTACAGTAAGCTTAGATAGTGAAGGCATTTTAAACCAACAATTTTGTAGAATTTACTTCTCATTTTGATTTACAATTTTTTCTCTCCCTGAATGGACAAATGATTATTTTTGTGGATGCTGTGTTAAGGAGCAAAGAACCATGTTGTTGTAATGGTACCCGGCCAATGAGACCGTTTGCTGTGTGAATTGGCCAACAACACATACATTCGATGCCCCATAGCAAAATATGACAAAATAAAGAGACAACATGATTTTCTCAAATTTTAGATCATTTGTCCTCTACATGGAAATGCATTACTTGATACATTGATTTGGACTGCATAATCTATATTGCCATTATCTAGCAGGAGAGCATTTATTGGCCCTTTTCTGTTTTTGTGATTCAATTATCTCCAAGCATTAAAGTCAGCATTTTTTTTTTCTAATTTTTAAAGGTAATATAAGGTCATAGGACCATATATAACAATTAGTTCCTTAGCTATAAGGAAATTACCTTCTTGGGATCTTTTGGTACAGCGCGGGCGATCTGCCAACCAGTCAAAGAAGCCTTTTCTCTGGGCAAGAACTGCTTCCCCTTGATCACATTGTGATTCCAAGTCAATACCTTGAAGCAATCATCAGATCTGCTGCTCGTGTATTCATGACAGGATGAACCGCCAACAACCCAATGGTTTGTCAAAGATGAAGCCATCGACATCATTGAACTAAAACAGAAAGGAACATTTAACAAGTCAGCATCTTCATGAAAAATGCTACAGAAAAGTGCGCATTTAAAAAGCACAACATGCCTCAAACTAACTGGACAGGCTCTACAAGATCTGGAATTGTTGTGATGGTGAAATGGGGATGGCCCATGCTGAGGTATTTATAGCTGAAGAAAATTTTCTTTCAGAAGGAAAGTATGCCTCATCATCCTTTCGTTTTAATGTTTATCATTCTAAAGAGTGGTTCTGTTGCTTGTCGAAATGCACCTAGGTACAGTCAGAAGAAGTGTTGTTTCTGTGTGGTCATCTTTGGCTTTGTTAGGGGCTTTGTTTCTTCTGTTACATATCTCCAAGCTTTAGCTTTGGTGCTTCTTACACCCTCTGCCAACTTTTATCTGAGGCGGCACGGCAATGCTCCAGAATGGAGGAAGCTGATGTGTATTTGGATAAAAAAGATGACCTTTTTATGAACAATACTCATCTCTTTGGTGTCAATCTTCATGCATTGTGGATATATGACTGGTAGTCATATCTATATCTAAATGTACTCTACTGGAATGTTGGATTTCTTGCTTAAGTAGAAATAACTAATTAAAGAGTGTATGTATTGTGGGAGACATAGAATTGTTTTTTTTTTTGGTGTGTGTGTGTGTGGGGGGGGGAGGCTCTGTCTTACCATTATTTACTTGGTTGTCAGCGACGGAGGTTATTTCAATCCATCCTAAAATTCCCTCCCACAGGAGTCGAAACCAAATGTTAGAGGTGCCGCTAGTCATAACCCTAGACTATGAACCTTTTTGCAAAGTTTCGCTATCTGATAGTGGCAATTATTTGAATCCCTTGAAATGATGCTTTGCAAGTTGAGTAAGTGGTATACTCAGCTATTTAGTAATAACCTTAACGAGCAAATAGCTATTGCATAAAGCAAATTTAATTCCTTTTCTTGCTCGAGATAATCATTTATGCAGTTGTATCGCCTGATTTTTGTCACTCCCTTAAGACGACGCAGAACTCCAAAATCCAAATGCATAGATCCTGTGCAAACTTTTCTAATGCTTTGCTGCTACATCAGAAGGCCTATGATCATGCCGCATTACCCATCTCATAGTTCTGTGGTTGAATTCATGCAGGATTGCAGCAACTCAGACCACCTAGAAAACAGTACAGGTTTGCAAATATATCACCATCACATTTGAGCTAGTTTAACTGGTTTTCTTGGTAGTGTGTACAATATTCTATAGATCATTGATTTCAGTTCATGGCTGCATAGGTTAAAGTGTGTTTTCCTTGCACGATTATTGTGGCTACATAGATCATGGATTTAATATTGAAAAACAAGGATAGCTGAATGCACATGTATTGATCAGACCTACATGCCCTTTTAGCTGGATATATCTGAAAAAATTCAGCAATGTCTCAAAAACGATTGGAGCCATTGATAGCACAACCAGTGATACTGGCCATTTTTCTCGTCATTGACAGAAAAACAGGACGAGGTGTTCAATTTCTTGCCCTGTAGCTGGAAGCTTGATAGACAGATGAATTTTTTTTAAATACAGAATGCAGTTAGAACAGTCTAGAAGATTGTATTAGATCCTTCGAACTGCCATCTACAACTGCACGGCCTGCCTCCTTGTTGACACCACTGTCGTCCATCAACTTTCTCATATTCTCTGACCCCAGCCATTCTCCAACTGATGCATAAATGTTCGACAGAAGCACAAAATCCCCACTTGCATCACTCCTTGCCTTTAGAAGTTCCCAATTCGCATGTTCAGCCAGTTCGATCTCACCATGGATCCTACAAGCCCCAAGAAGGGTCTCCTCCATATGATAGGATTAGGCTCGATCTTCATTGTGCCGATGAACTCAAATGCTTCTTTGAGCAGCCCTGCACGACTCAGCATGTCAACCATGCAACCGTAGTGTTTGACATTGGGCTCGATCTTGTATCTTTGTTGCATCAGGTTGAAGTACTCATGCCCCTTGTCAACCATTCAGGTTGCAGGCATGTTCGCTTGAACTTATCAGCCGGCTTATCAGCTAGAATCTACAGTATTTTTCTTTCACAATAAAACAGCTTCAGTCGGCTTATCAGCCGGCTTTAATACCAGCCGAACAGGCCCGAGACATTCCCCTGCAGCATCTTCTGGAACACATCTATGGACTCTGTGACATGACCATGCAATGCTAATCCTCCTATGATCGAGTTCCAAGTCGAGACATTCTTATCTTGCATCAACCAGAACACCTCTAGTGCACTCGTCATGCTTCCACACTTTGCATACATGCCGATCAGTGCGTTTCCAAGAACAGTGCTAGGCCCAATTCTTGAAAACCTCCCTGACAGAAACCTGTACAGTCTGCGGCCAGCATCCAGATCACCAGAATCGGCACAGACTGACAATAAGCTGAGCATCGTGACAGTATCTGGCTTTTCTCCCATGGCCTGCATCTGCTCAAAGAGCTCCATTGCTTGCTTGTGCGAGCCGCACCTCACGTACCCAGAGATCATGGCGTTCCACGACACAACATCACGATCAGGAGCCCCGTCGAAGAGCTCCCTCGCCGGGGCCATATCACCCAGCGTTGCATATGCCGTGATCATCATGTTCCAAGACACGATGTCCTTCACAGGGCTCTCGCCGAACAGCTCCCGGGCGGCACCAATGTCCCCTCTCCTTGCGAAGCCGCAGATCATCGCCGACCACGCCACGGCGTCCTCGCGCGCTTCGCCGTCGAACAGCGCAGCCGCGACACCTAGGTCCCCGCAGGTAGCGTGCATGTCGATGAGTTCCTCACGAAGGCGTCCGACTCGCACCCGGCCTTGATGATGTCCGCGTGGACCTGCGCCCCGGTTTCGCCCGCGCCCATGGCGGCGCAGGCGCGGAGCACGAACGGGAAGGTGCGCTTGTCCGGCCACACCATCACACCGCCGCAGCCGCCGCTGTGCCGCGCCATGCTCGCGTAGATGGAGACGGCGTCCCGGGGCGCGTCACTGTGCGCGGCGCCGCGGATGAGGGTGTTGTACATGAACCGGTCGGGGTGCGGGATTCGGTCGAACACTAGGCGGGCGTGCGCGGTGCCGCCGCGGACACCGACAGAGGAGGCGAAGATGAGCTCGCGGAGCGCCGAGGGGTCCGATAGGAAGCCCCGGAGGACCATGCGCGCGTGGACCTGCTTGATCTGCCGGAGGCTGCGGCACCGCCGCCACAACGCCGGCTGCCGGCGCTGGGTGCCCGACTTGCGCAGCATCGCTGTCGCAAGCGCGGCGCAAATGGTTTCAGTGTCTCCAAAGATCCCTTCGCTCTCACTGCTTGTGGGCTTGTCGTCATCCCGAATGACGGCCCCGCCCTGATGAGTTGTTCCTCCCCTCTCTCATTGTCACGCGGCTGCGGCCGCTCGCCAAGTGTTCGACAAAACGCTGCAGGATGATGCAGTCTTCTACGCCAGTGTGTTTAGTACTTTAGTCCATACCTAAGGACTGTGATCTGGGAACAAATAATCAGACAGCCATAAGACAAGTCTCAGCGTGGTTTCGTGTCCCCGTTTTCAAGATTGTCATGTGTTGAAAACAAGGTGGACAAATCTCATCCCTATAAAACATATTTTATCCCATAAAACTTTCATTATCTCTTTCGTCATTAGTACTATGATATGTCAGTTTTTTTCCATGAAATCTCTATTGAGACTGACTAAAAAGAATTGTTGATACTTTTCTTTCAACTAGAATTGATGATACTTGGTGGAAGTGGTTTATTGCATATTTGCATACTACCACCATTTTTCTATAGAGAATGAGAATGAAATGATGGTAGTGTAAGCTACAAAGAAGGTTAAAATGCTTTAGTGTTACATATACCTATTTAGTGTTTATTAGCCTAAATTTTTAATACAAAGGGCCGTTATAAGAGTATATGAGTCCAACATTTTAAATTACCTATCTCGTAATATCACATCATAGAGTCAAGATTTTAACAATTTTATTGACAGCTACAAAACTGATGTGGAAGCACTTTCATGATGGTAGCATCCATGACAAATCGTCATGGAAGACTTAGGTTCCATGACAAATCGTCATGGAAGACTTAGGTTTCCTGACAAATAGTCCCTAACATTCTAACAGCACAACCTTGATGAAAAAAAAAGTTATGAACGTCATCACTTGCTAAAGTAACCTGGCCGGAGCCTAGAGGAGTGGTTAGATGCTCATAATGGAGTTGTCATAACTACTACTTCATCGTTCCAAATTATAAGATGTTTTGGTCTTTCTAAATGTATAATGTTCTCGCCATGCATATATATATATATATATATATATATATATATATATATATATATATATATATATATATATATATATATATATATATATATATATATATATATATATATATATATATATATATATATATATATATTATGGGAGTGTTCGGCTGCCATTATAAGCCGGCTTATAAGTCATGGCATATTATTTTTCTCTCCCAACAAATCAGCCGTGCAAATCAGCACAAACGGCTTTACGAGCAGCCGAACAAAGCCATGTCTAAATACATAGTAAAAGCACTGTATCTAAAAAGCAAAAAACGTCTCATTTGAGATGGAGGGAATACTGTTACCATCTCACCTCAGAAGAAGCTTTTTTAAACACTTTTCAGTAACAATCTTCACAAGGTTGGCTAGTTTTGAAGGACTCTGGTGTTTAATTAAAGGGTTTTAGTGTTTTACCAATGCAGACAACAAGAGTATAGGCTTCAGAAAATTATTCTGCTCCATGTAGGCATAGGTTGCGTGGAACTACTACTACTTTTCCACCGCAAGCGCATACTCTCAACTCTACCACAGTGAAAGCATTTTTTCCCTCACTCTCTTGTGGGCGATCGTCTCTCCCCCGAGGCCATAGCAACCTCTGTATGTCACATTGACACCTATGGAGCACACAACTTTTGCACAGGCCAACATTCGAGCCTAGTTGGCCAGACAAAGCCACTAGTGAAGCCACCGCGTTGGCGCTGACATAAGTGGTTTGTAGAGGAGAATAATCAACGATGGTGAATTGGCGATACAAACAGACTGTACCGTGATTTGGGCAAGCATCCGGTGAAGAAAGAAAATTTCTTAGCCCTTGTCTAGTTGGTTGAAGTTTGAAAATTTGGCTACTGTAGCACTTTTGTTTTTATTTGACAATTAGTGTTCAATGATGGACTAATTAAGCTCAAAATGTTCGTCTCGCAATTTCCAACCAAACTGTGCAATTAATTTTTTTCCGTCTACATTTAATGCTCCATGCACGTATCATAAGATTCGATGTGATGAATACTGTAGCACTTTTTGGGAAAAATTTTTGGAACTAAACACGGGGTTAGTAGGTGTATTCTTAATTATATACGATGAACTTGTATGCATAACTTGGCATCTACCCACCATACACTTACCATGCTGGTTCCACACTTCCACTAAGAATGAAGTACAAAACACTGGTGGTGGTCGTTCTCATGCATGGTCCGACGCAATTTTAAGACCAAGCCACCAATGAAACCCATCATTTTCCCCTTACATACATGTAAATATGTAACATGAACATTATTTGGCGTGGATTAAGCGAGTCATGACATCAAACGGCCCTAGAGACGCGGACCTTGAGGCCGTGCGCCATGGAGAGGATGGTCATCATGCGGTACTGGACCGGGTGCCCCTCCAGCAGCTGGAAGCTGTAGAAGCGGAAGAGGATGGCCAGCGCCATCTTCATCTGCAGGTACGCCGAGTCCTTGCCCAGGCAGATCCTCGGCCCCGCCTGGAACGCCGTGAACTTGAACGGCGACGCATTGCGGAACGCGCCATCCTCGTTGATCCACCGCTCCGGCCGGAAGCTCGCCGCGTCGGGGCCCCAGTTGTACTCCATCCGCCCCATCGAGTAGGGCACGTACGTCACCATCCCACCGGCCCTCACCTTCGTCCCGTCCGGCAGCACGTCGTCCTCCAGGATCCCCTTGGGGTCCTGCGTTCAAGTGCATTGCATTGCAGGTTTTCACTCAGTGCTGTGCCTGTGCGGCCGGCCGGCCGGGGTACGGTGACCACCACCAGCCACATCTGCATTGCATCGGACCGGAGCCCGGATTGGAGGTCGTGTCAAGCGCTCACCTGAGGCACGGCGGGGTACAGGCGGAGCGTCTCGGTGACGCAGGCGTGGAGGTAGACCAGCTTGCCGAGGCTGTCGTAGGTGAGGAGCCCCGCGAACTGCGCCACGCGGGCGGCGAACGCCTTGTCGTCGTCAGGGCCGCCGCAGGGCACGAGCACGACGCCCTCCTCGCGCGCGCGCTCCGACTCGAACGCGCACAACTCGCGCCGCAGCTTCTCGGACACGTCCGGGTGGGACATGGCCATGTGCGTGAACCACGACAGCGTCGTCGCCGTCGTGTCCCGCCCGGCGATCACGAAGTTGAGTACCACGTCCCGGAGGCTCTTGTCGTCCCCGAAGCTGCCTCCGCCGCAGCCGCCGCTACCATCGTCGCCGACCTCGCCCAGCTCGATGAACCGTGACAGGATGTTGTGCTTCATCTGCCCATTTAATTTGCCCTCACAAGTCACACACATATATAATCAATCAGGATCAGGTCCATCCCAACCAAGATGATGAATTGAAGAACGAAACAAGCTAACCTTCTCCTGTTTGCCGCTGGCCCGGGCCTCGACGATCTCGGCCTTCCTCCGGCGGATCACGCTGTAGGTGAACTCGTCCACGAGCTTGATGCTCTGCGCTAGGAGGGCCTCTGAGCCGAAGTGGAAGAACCTCTTGACGCGCCACAGCGGGTCGATGAACCGCAGCGTGACGATGATGTTGGCGGCATCGAACGCCTGGGCGAAGCTGTTCTCGGGGAGATCCGGCGACAGCGTGCCGATCTCAACCCCGAACCCAACCTTGCAGATCGAGTCCAGTGTCATCCTCATGTAAAGTTCCTGAATCGCAAAATAGCTCTCGTGTTAATTAGGACGTTAGTTAGTCTCAGATTCACACTGAGTGTGAGTGCCCAAGAAATGCTCATGCCGGCATTGGCCAGGAAGCAGTGATCAGTTCACCTGCATGTCCACAACTTTGCCTGCCTTGGATGCCTGGCTCAGTATGCCTGACAGCTTCAGGGAGTACTCTCTGAACACGAAGGCGCTGAAATCCCTCAGGTTTTTGGAGGCGAACTCGAAACTCGCTGTCTTCCTCTGCTTCCTCCACAGCTCGCCGTCTGCGTTGAATATGCCGTCACCGAGGAGCACGTCCATGTAGGATCTGTACACGTCCCCCTGCACAGTGTTCAGGCATTAGAATCAGCTTTCAGTTCTGGTTTCTGAACCTTTAGCACAGCATCACAGAAGACTGAACATCGGTGAGTTCAGCTCATTTACCTTGGGGTAATTGGTGAAGTTAGTCTTGAGGACATGTTCGACATTCACTGGGTCAGCGATGTAGGTGTAGGACGTGAACGGCATGTCGACGGTCACTGTATTGTGCCGCGACAGGTACCCGACAAGCCAGTCGTGCATCCGGTGGTAGTTCCTCAGCTGCTCCACCGTTGCGCCGATGACCGGCCATGGCCTCGGACCTTTCTGCTTCCTCAGGCTCCACCTGTGGACCAGGACACACGAGAGGACAACGAGGAGGATCGCGATGTACTTGTGGAGCCCTGCTAGTGGGAAGAATGGCGTTGCCGGCATGAGGTGAGCTTCCTCTTCCTCCATGGTGCTCTTGATGAAGGGTGCAGTCTCCAAGTGATGGATGTTATGTATGTAGCGTTGTCTGGGTTTGTTAGGTGATATATTGGGTATTGCTGTTACCAACCTTGAGAGAGACAATCTTGGTGTGACCGGAAATTAAGATTTCTTTCATTCATATGGTGTCCCTGACCTAACTCCCGGACAAGTTGGGGCTTAGCCTTTGTGTTCCTTTTTGTGATCTGCCAACCAAGAAAATGAGCCACTCTTATACTGTATTTGCAGGTTATTCATTTTTATTACAATTAGGAGTCGCAAGATTATGATCCATCAGCTTGGTACTGAAAGTCTGAAACTGCCGATCAAAAAAAAAAAAAAAGTCTGAAACTGAACCTTACCAGAAATTGTCCACAATTCCTTAAAAATTTAGGCACAATGATACATTCGTAGTTCCTACATGACAGTTCAAGTGAAAAGTACATCCTGAACAAGAATTTGTGGACCCATTGTGAGTTATTTTCTTGCAAGAGAATGACTGATGAAATATAGCCATGCAGTTGCCAATCTACGAAAAAAAGGATGGATATGAAATTTAACGAATCTAACTTAAAAAATTACATGGATCAAATTGATAAAATTCTTGTGAACACTTAAAGAATAATCGGAAACCAAAATAAAGAGAGCAAGACAATACAGCTCTCATGGATGATCTTTGATTCGGATCACCTACTTATTATAAATGTCAAGCAAACAAGAATATTTACTGCATAAGTACTAATCATTCATTAACATGAACCTGTTGGAAGTTGCTCAACCAAGGAATAAATTAGGAGTGACGGTATCAAAATCTAAATGTTAATTTTGTTGGTGGCATCCAGTGTAAGTCTGAAGAGATCTCTCATTGCGTGTCTCTTCACCAACTTGCCATAGGTTGCCCTCCCAATCCTCACCACCTTGTCCTCCACCTCTAGCCGGTTGCCGCAGCCATTGCCATCCCTGGAACCCCTCAACATTGCTTTCAGCACGCTCTCATTCCCGCCGACCGCATCAGCAACACTCTCTGCTACAAGGGCTTCGCTTGGAACTCGCCTTCCCCATTTCCTCACCAGCTTATCAGAATCATACAAGGAGGAGTATGCGCTCCAGAATGACGCACGCAAGAACGCCTTTTGCCTCTCCTTCAACACAGACTTCCTCATCTTCTCCTCCAGCCGCACCACCACTGCTCCTGTATCTCCTCCACTGGCCAAATCGTTCTCTGACTTAAGGATTTCTTGCCTAAGAATGGAATCCTCGGCTTCAAACCTGCACCGATCACACTTGCATTCGAATCCCCAAGCTTTGGCTGCCTCCCTGCGCTTGCTCACTGGCACAAGCACATCAAAGTATGGAAATGTGATCTCCTCCCCGGCTTTGATGTCCCTGGACGCGTGGACAATGGCATGGTCCCCGATGTGAGTGCGCCGGGCATTGGGGTGGCAGGAATGGTTGATGAACGACGGCAAGACCCAGAGTCCCACGCCACAGTTGACGACACCATTGTTACCAAGCACATCGGCGGCTGGCGCGTCCTCAGTCAAGCAGTTCACGTCGAGCACCTTCAAGATCCTGTCCACATGAACAGCCTCCTGTGTCCCCATCGCCCTCGACGCGCTGATACCATCACTGAGAATGTCAATCTCAGTTTCATTCCTGAAAATTGCCATGTCCGGGACGACAAGCTCGTCCTGCCGCTCCTCGCCGGTGGACAGAGTATAGATCAAAGCCGCCGTCTTCGGACATTTCTCTGCAGCTTCGAGCACCTTGCCGACAAAGTCCTTCCATACGAACATCTTCTCCTCGCTGTCGGCGGCATCAGGAATCACCCCTCTCCCGATCGCCGCCGCCTTGGCGATTATCAAAGTAGCCCCCGCCTCGACGTTCTTCACGGCGAAAAGCCCTCGGCCGCCGTGCGGGGACCGGCGCACCTCCACTGGCCCGACGTACTCCGCTAGATCCGGGAACTTCCCGGCGAACCCCGCGAGCACCCACTCGGACAGGTCCACCGCCCCGCTCCTCGCCTGCGCCTCCAGGCGCCTGCACTGCTCGGTGAGCTCCCGCGTCTCCTCCGCGGCGCCGCTGCCGCCTGAGGCGAGCGCTGCCGCGCGGAAGCAGTCGGCCGCGGCGGCGTACCGGCCGAGGCCGCGGAGGAGCGCGCCCTTCGAGAGCAGCGCGCCGGGGTGGGCCGGCTTGGCCGCAAGCGCGGCGTCGCAGTCGGCGAGCCCGCCGGCGGCATCCCCGAGCCGCGCGCGGGCGTCGGCGCGGTGCGCGAGCGTGGAGCAGAGCACGCGGCGGTCGTCGCCGGAGGAGGCGGCGTCGATGATGCGGGAGCAGACGGCGACGTACTCCCTCCAGTCCTCCTTGAACAGCAGCTCCGTCGCGCGGCTCCGCAGATGCTGCAGCGTGTCGTTGTCGAGGCCGCCGTCCTGGATTCCGGCCATATCTCCGGTGCCGGGGGGTTGCGGGGTGGGGGCGTGGTGACTCGTGAGATTAATGCGCTTTGTTTGCTTTGTAGTTTGGGCTGGTTGGTTGGTGGGTGGAGCTGGGAGTGGCGCACTCGGCGTGGGTGGCTGGGCTGGGCGCGGCGATGTCGGAATTCTGCTTCTGGTTGGGAAAATTTGAATGCGATGGACTGACTGGGCTACTGGAGCTGGAGTAACGGCTATCCGTTGTCAGTGTAGGACAGCTCAGTAATGGTGTTTTTAATCTCGTGTTAAATAGTCATTGCTATTTATGGATCTAGAATGATTTGATTTGAAACCGCTGGTAGCAATTGATCACTGCTTGCTTTTGCTACCAGCGGTTTATATAAAAGCTATTAATATGCTTTTTATATAAAATCTAGCAAACAATTTGCTCTTGATCAAACAGGAGTGTCAAATTGATCCAAAAGCTAATTGTTTGCTAGATTTATATAAAAAAACATATTAATATCTTCAGTATAAACTAAATCTATTATCAAGCCATATTTCACAAGAGAATTAATAAAATTATTTTGATGTTATAAATGTCTACTCTATTGTTTACGCCCTATTTAAAAGTGTGAGAAATTTAATTTAATATAAAACTCAAGTGACGTATGTTTAAACAATGGAGGAATTAGATGTCAATGCATTTTTCAATGCCTTGGTCAAAGGGAAAGAATTTTGATTTAAAACAATACTAAATAATTTAGAGCATATTCGTTAGTGCTTTTTATGGAAATATTTATCTGAGTATTTTACATGAAAAATACTTCAATTAAAAAAATCCTAAAATCTGATTTAATATTAGAAAATTCATAAAAAAATGTTTTAGCTTGGAGTTCTAAAACCGTGCTCTATTTTATGGTGTCTAGCTTGAAATTATTTGAATAGAAGTTCTCGTTATCTATTAAAATTATCATTCGGACTACGTAGAACTGCTAGTGGAATGTAGTTAGGACCATAGTGGGTGGTGCTAGTCTCCTAGCCTGGTTAATTTTTTAAAGTAATTATGTTAGCCTGCGTGGAGAGAATGCGGCGGCGGCGGATTTGGCGGTGGGCTAGTCGAGGCGACAGCGAAACGGGTCAGCAGGGTGGATGCTCGAGTTACGACGGGAAGAAGATAACTGGCTCTGGTACCAAATGTGGCGACCCTAGCCGAAGAGGAGAGGATTGCCGGCGTATACGCGTGGTGGTGAGCACGGCGATGGCGCTGTCTCGAGCAAGCAACAAGAGGAGGAAGAGGATTTGGGAATTTGGTTTATTATTTTTGCTGTCCTCCCATCCACCCACACAACGAGTTCATAAGGTTACAGTAGTTGGCCCAAGCCCATTACAACCAGGCGGCCCATAAGCCGAACACTGGCCTGATGTTCAAATGTAGAAAGATAACGTCAAGTCTAAAACATGTATAACACGGTATGTGACATCTGGGTACTCAAATTCATATATGTACATAAAGGAAAAAAAAGCACTAGTTTGCTAGATAAGCAATAACCTAGGTGCTTGATTTTTTTTGTTGATGTTAAGACAACATGTAATTTGTTGTTATTTTTTTATAGAAAATATAGAATTTTCTCTTGTAGGTTGTCCTTGTAATTATACGATTTAGTTGTCTAGATTATTGCCTATAAATTCAAGCACCTGAAATATAGCAACCTCCTTTCGTACAATGCGTGTATAAACATATCCTTGTTTTTGTACGTTTCTTTGTGTGTTTATAGATTTGTATATATAATAATGTATAGAGATTTTTTTTTATGGAACGAAGGGGGGTGAAGAGTTCCCACCTGATATATTAAGAGAGAATTCTGTATTTGGCACTCGAACAAATCGCTCTTCCGTATTTGGCACTGAAAATTTTGAACTTCCTTATCTAGCATCAACTTGAAAATTCCTTCCGTATATGGCAATCTGTCCATTTGATGCAGTAACGGTGTCAAATGCCACCTAAAATGACATATATGACCTTCTATGTACCAGCAACATGTAGTGTCAGATAGAAAAAGAATAAATGGACATAATGTCAAATAACGAAAGCACAAATATCATAAATATACTTGTGAATGAAACATAGCATTTTGATAATTGAAGTGTGGCAATAATAATCAATAAATTTGATGCACAGGCTTCACAAATCTGACCACATTGTCAGCATACTTAAAAAACAAAAAAAAATATAAACACCTTGCACACCTCACATTAGCTCAACAAATCCATACAATAGGGGGTCTAAGTTCACATGTCCAGGTTCATAAATATGCATACATTACTAGGTTCATAAACATAAACACATGAAGGTTCGTACATAGGGGTTCTAAGTTCACATTACAGAATTCTGTGCCTTCCTTTGGCGATTCTCCGGGTAATCACCTTGCGCCCACCCTTGGTCGATTTACTACAGAACCAATGTGACAAGGACATCAGGGCACTGAACCACGATCATGCCAGGTAAACTAATTTCCTAATCTAAATGAGGTGCGAAAAGTGAACATGAACGGAAACACATACAAAACTTGATAATTCCAACTTGAAACCCATCTTCCTTTTTGGACGAGGGATGAGGGAAGCAAAAGCACCCAGTTGAACTGGATAACAGGATAAGGGAAGCTAGAGAGACAGACCATGTAAGAAATCCATGGGTTCTTTTCCGCTTGATGGTACTGGGCTGGTAAGTTCTTTTCAGAAGCAACTGAAGGGGGTCATTAGCAACTGGATCCTCAACTACAAATAGCAGAACACAAGCAACGGATTAGCAAAGACATCAAACTCACAAAAATAATAATTTGATCCTAGCTCCCAAGTCATAACCAAAAGCTTACAAGTCATAACCAAGACTGTATCATTCACCTAATAACTATGAATATTTTCAGCATCAGACGTAGCAAGGAACAGTAAATGTTTGGGACCATGCAAGTAAACAATCCAGGAACAGCAAGATGAACTCCGCATGTACTTGAGTATTTGTCACTTGTCAGACACTTTCTACCCAATTTCAGGACAATCAGCAGCAGATGGAACAAGCCACGATCACCATTTGGCACCATGCAAGTAAACAATCTTAGGATAGCAAAAAGAAACATGTGTAGTTGAGTATTTCTAGTGCACTTTCTACCAAATGTAGGACTTAATAGAAATCATATGTTTATAAGAGGGAGACCTCCCCAAGCTCCACGCAATCTCAGTTTTAGGCTTTCAAATGATCACACACAATAATGCAGCGTATCAAGCTTTGGATTCTACTACCTATTCAAGGTAGAAAAGGGCATACAGGGAACATTAAATAGTGCATAATGTATTGCAAGCAACGTGCTCTTCTATGCATAAGAGTATCAATCACACTACATACATGGCTTTTCTCAAGGTTGATCAACCACTTGTTGACTTTCAACACAAACCAAACAACACAGATTTTGAAGCCCTAACGCTTGTGAATCATAAAGACAGCACAGGCACTAAAGATATTTGTCAAGCACACACTCATTAGTGGGCCAGACACACCCACAAATCATCACTTTTGTGCTTCTTCAGAATATTGCAGCAATACAGCACCACTTAGAGTTACTAGAGGACATGAGGCCTCGTTTAGATTCCAAGTTTTTTCACTCTCTCTCCATCACATCGAATCTTTGACACATGCATGGAGTATTAAATATAGATAAAAAAAATAACTAATTACACAGTTTGATTGTAAATTACGAGACGAATCTTTTGAGCCTAGTTAGGCCATAATTGGACAATAATTGTCAAATACAAACAAAAGTGCTACAGTGTCAAATACTGATTCCTAGCCACGAACTAAACAAGGCCTGAGAGTCAGGCAACATCTGCAGACCCCCTCGAGCTACAACTAGCTAATAAAACAAGCGCTGACACATAACAGTATAACACAGGTAATAGTAGCACATCGCCATTGAGGAAGACAACCATGAGATTTCAGAAAACAATGTCCCCGGAATGAACGAATGAAGCATACTGTGCGAAATCATGGCAATTCTTCCCAATCCCGCACAAAGCAAGGGTTAACAGTGTAATGGTATAACTGCAAATCACAGAAATTGCGCAGTAGATCAGAAATCATGCGAGTTTCAAGAGGTCACACGCAACAATCTCTATATACAATGTACGCTATGGCAACATTGCTCCCAGTCTCCCCCCCACCCTTTCCCCATTTTAACCAAGCAGTGACTAGCGATCCGAGCCCAACTGTAAAACTCAATCGTGGCCCAATTCATTCATGAGTGCGTGTGTGTGTGAGAGAGAGAAGCGGTACCGTCTTCGATGAAGAAGCGGAGCGACGGGAGGCCACAGGGGAAGGAGATCTCGCCGGGGAGCGAGCTCAGCCTGGAACCATCGCCAGGGGAGGCCGCTCCACGGCCTCTACGCGAGGACCTCGCCCCGCCGCGCAGCTTCCTGGAACCAGCCCCGGCGGGCGAGGCCGCCCCGCCCCGCTGCGCCCCCCGCCCCGCGAGATGGGGCCAGCACCGGCCAGCGAGCCCGCCCCGCCGCCGCGTCCCCTGCCGGAAGCTCGGCCCGCCCCGCTGCCGCGACCCCTGCTAGACCCGCGCGTCGATCTGCCACATGGGGAGACCTCGGCTGAGGGACTGGCGCCTCTAGCTGAAGGAAGGGCGTCGTGATTTCCTGGGCGCCGGCGGCCGACGGCTCCTCCGCCCCCATCCTCATCTCCTCCGGCTTCCATGGATTTTAATTTTTTTTTCACAGGAAGAAGGGGAGCGAGCGTGCGAGTTTCGCCCGTAGCGACTGCCGAGCATGTGTGTGCCACCAAATTACATTACATGGAGGGGTATTTTGGTACTTATTAAAAAAACTAACATGGTCAAAAAAGTCAATAAACAGATGGTTAGCTAAAATGGATGGAAGTGTCATGGAAAGAATTTTTAAGTTGATGCTAGTTCAAAATTTTCAGTGCCAAATATAAAAGAGTGATCTGTTTCAGTGCCAAATACGGAATTCTCCCATATATTAACTACATCCAGTCAATGAGTAGTGGTGGAAGACCGAGGCCTGGCAGGACGAAGCCCGTTACAAATAGAACATATTTGCTGGTGGGTTTCTGGGCTAATAAGCTCGACTAATGCTGATTTGTTGTAAGAGAAAAATATTATTAGCTGATTGATAAGTTTTAACTGAAACCAACGAGCGAACATGAGAGAGAAGGTTGATGGGAGGTTACATGGAGAACATTTCACTCCACATCAGAGAGGCAGAACGGAGGCGCGGTGGAAGCCTGCAGAAGCTCCAGCTCACTGCAGCTTCTTTACAGTTGGCTAGGAGACGTTGTAGGCAGTTTTTTTTCTTTTCTTTTTACATCATCGTTGTAGGCAGGGTTGGTCATTGCGGAAGATCACGCCGTTACGGTGCTTCCATAGTTCCCTGCAGCAAAGGATCAGGAAGGTGCTAGCAGTCTGTGTTGATAGGGACGGAGGGAAGGTCGATGTCCACAGCTCCATGCCCGGGGCGATGGGAAGTTGTGAACCGAGGTGCCACCGATACGAGTCCAAAAAGGCAGCAGCAAATATTTTGGGAGAATATCTGTGAAGTTTGAGACCCTATTCGTTTTTCTTATAATTCGTACTTTTTAGCTTGTTTTTTCAGCTGAAAATAGTATTTTTCTCTCACAACAAATCAGTCGAAACAGTGTTTTGGTTTGTTTTTTTAGCGAAGTGAACGGGGCCTGAATTGTACAAGTCGAAGATTCGAAGAAAGGTGGGCAGTTGCATTGGGCACATGTAGTGATAGTTATTACCCGTCCGTTCCAAATTATAAGTCGATTTAACTTTTTTGATATAACCGTTTTACTATGTATCTAGATATAATATTATACTATGTATCTAGATATAATATTATATCTAGATACACAGCAAAATGTGGGGGCCGTTCGGATGGTCTAGAGTTCAGCCGGAATTTACTGTTCCGGGCTGAAAACACTGTTCATCCTCCTACAGATTCCTCCCAATTTCTCCTAACGAACAGGGCCTGTATGAACCAAAAAAATTAAAGCGATTTATAATTTGGAAAAGAGGGACACCTTTCGTTTTTATTTGCGTTCATCGCTGGGAAAAGTCAAGCGGACTTCAAAGATCATTCTGAGATTAAAGCTCTTATTGTCAAAACTCAAATGATCTTTGATGGGAAAAATGATCATTGAAGAATACGTGCCATCTTTTTTTTTTCTCCACCGATTCGATTTCTTGGTCCCTAATCCTCAGTCAGTCGCTCTCGGATAGGTGGAAATGTGACGAGACCAAGAGAGTCAGTCTAGCACTGTGACGGAAGAACGATGGATCCATGTATGGTCCCAAGTCACTCACAGCAATTCTTTAGTATTTCAGCATGTCGTCGTGTGGTATGCCGTAAGCGTATGGTAGTCCGGTGGGGCAAAGAAGGAACCGGGAACCCGCGAGGCCACGATCCCTTTGATCGCCATGGCCGCGTCGCTGTCACGACGACCGATGCCAAGATGCGCCAGCGCCACCGCCTTGTCGCCTGTATAAGTCCTCAGCTATCCAGCCGTCACTGACCTCCGCTGCAGCGATGGCGGCAACACTGCACTGGGACTGGGAGGAATCCCTCGTTTTCTTCCTCCACGGCGTGAGCGCCGCGGCCCACCTTATCCTCGCGCTCGTCGTCGCGGGGCGCTTGCTCTTTCGCCGCCTCTCCGCCGGCCGAACCAAGGACGGGGAGGTGAGCGGAGGAGATGCTAGCCGCGGCGTTGGCCGGTTCCGGTACTGCTACGGGATCTCTGTCTGCACCACGTGGGCTCTGGCGGCGTTCGAGGTCCTCCTCGCCGCCTACTCCTGGTACGCGGATAGCGGCGCCGGGTGGTCGCGCGACGCGGTCGCCGAACGGGTGGACGCGGCCGCGCGCGCGGTGTCGTGGCTGCTGCTCGCCGCGTACCTGCAGTTCGATTTCGGGCGGCGTCGGCGGCGCCAGGAGCGGTTCCCCGCGCCGCTCAAGCTTTGGTGGGCGCTCTTCACGCTGCTCTCCGTCGTCGCAGTCGGCGTTCACGCGGCGACGAGTCTGGACGGGTTCCTCGTGCCCGCTCGGTCGTGGGCGCTCGACGCAGTCTCTGTTACTGCAGCAGTGGTTCTACTCTCAGCTGGGTACTTCCTCGGAAGGAAGGAGGGAGAAGGACGCGGCCATGCTTCCGAGGAGCAGGAGCCTCTGCTTAACGGCGCACACGAGGCGGCCGATGACGTCGACGACAACAGCAGCAGCGCCGCCGACGCATCCTTGTTCACTGGCGCCGGCTTTCTTAGCGTGCTCACCTTCTCTTGGATGGGGCCCCTGCTCGGCGTGGGCCACAGGAAGACCCTGGTCCTGGAGGATGTCCCGGGCCTCGAACCAGGCGACAGCGTTGCTGGCGTCCTCCCGCCCTTCAAGGCCAACCTTGAGGCGCTCACTCGCGACGTCAACGGAGACGGCGGCAGGTCGAGCCGGAAGGTCGTCACCGCGTTCAAGCTCACCAAGGCCCTGCTGCGCACCATATGGTGGAACGTCGCGGTGACCGCGTTCTACACGCTGGTCTACTGCGTCGCCGCCTACGTTGGGCCGTACCTCATAGACTCCCTGGTGCAGTACCTGTACCTCAGCGGCGACGAGAGGTACGCGGGCAAGGGGCAGCTTCTCGTACTCGCCTTCGTCGTGGCCAAGGTGCTCGAGTGCCTGTCGCAGCGGCACTTGTTCTTCCGGCTGCAGCAGGCCGGGATACGCGCGCGGTCGGCGCTCGTCGCCGTCGTGTACCAGAAGAGCCTCGCGCTCTCTAGCCAGTCGAGGCGGAGCCGCACGAGCGGAGAGATGATCAACATCGTCAGCGTCGACGCCGACCGCGTCGGCATCTTCTCGTGGTACCTGCACGAGGTCTGGCAAGTACCGCTGCAAACAGGCATGGCGATGTTCATCCTGTACTCCACCCTCGGGCTCGCCTCGCTCGCCGCGCTCGGTGCCACCGTGGCCATCAGCCTCGCCACCGTGCCCCTGGGAAGAATGCAGGAGAGGTTCCAGGAGAAGCTGATGGACAGCAAGGACGCGAGGATGAAGGCGACGTCAGAGAGCCTTCACAGCATGAGGATCCTGAAGCTGCAGGGGTGGGAGATGAGATTCCTGTCCAAGGTCATCGAGCTGAGGAAGACAGAGGCGAACTGGCTAAAGAGATACCTCTACACGTCGGCCACCATGACCTTCGTCTTCTGGGGCACCCCGACCTTCGTCGCCGTGGTGACCTTCGGAGCGTGCATGCTCATGGGGATCCCCTTGGAGACAGGAAGCTGCTGTCTGCACTGGCCACGTTCCGCGTGCTGCAGGAACCTATATACGAACTCCCTGGCACTATCGCGATGGTGATCAAGACCAAGGTGTCTCTTGACAGGATAGCATCGTTCCTGTGCCTGGACGAGCTGCCCAGTGATGCTGTGCAGAGGCTTCCACGTGGCAGCTCTGCTGACTTTGCCGTCAGCGTCAGCAACGGGTGCTTCTCATGGGAAGCCTCGCCTGAAGTTCCAACACTGAAGGACCTCAACTTCCAAGCTAGGCCAGGCATGCGCGTTGCGGTCTGTGGGACGGTTGGCTCCGGCAAATCCAGCTTGCTATCCTGCATTCTCGGTGAGATTCCAAAGTTATCGGGAGAGGTCCGGACCTGTGGGACAACAGCGTATGTCAGCCAGTCGGCTTGGATACAGAGCGGCAAAATTCAGGAGAACATACTGTTTGGCAAGGAGATGGACAGAGAGAAGTACGACAGGGTCCTCGAGTCATGCGCGCTGAAGAAAGACTTGGAGATCCTGCCGTTTGGTGACCAGACAGTCATTGGCGAGCGAGGCATCAACCTTAGTGGCGGCCAGAAGCAGAGGATTCAGATAGCGCGCGCTCTGTATCAGGATGCCGACATCTACTTGTTCGATGATCCTTTCAGTGCAGTCGATGCACATACCGGATCCCACCTTTTTAAGGTACATGATTGTTCAAATGGTTATGCTTCATCACTTATGTTTGTTCAAAGAAGTTTTTGATGACATAACATATTGCTAGATACTTACGATTTTTGTTTTGAAGGAATGCTTGCTTGCGGATTTGGCTTCAAAAACAGTGGTTTATGTCACTCATCAGATTGAATTCCTACCTGCCGCCGATCTCATTCTTGTGAGAATTTCTTGGTAAAGATTTAATGTATGATTGTTACCATAAAAACTTATGACTCTTCTTATAAATATAGCTTGTGATGTAGGTCATGAAAGATGGGAGAGTAGCACAAGCAGGAAAATACGACGAAATACTGGGTTCAGGTGAAGAGTTCATGGAGCTAGTTGGTGCCCACAAGGAGTCTCTAACAACATTGGATGTGATCGACGCCATGAATGGAGGCAATGTATCCTCCTCCTCTCCCAGTGGCAGAGAGAAGCGGAATCTGTCCAGATCACTGTCATTAGCTGAGAAGAAACATGAAGCCAACGAGGATGAAGGAAATGGTGCTCGGAGTGGGCAGCTGGTGCAGGAGGAAGAAAGGGAGAAAGGCAGGGTGGGGTTCTGGGTCTACTGGAAGTACCTCACGCTAGCTTACAAGGGTGCTCTTGTACCCTTGGTGTTGCTAGCACAGATACTTTTTCAAGTAATTCAGATTGCGAGCAATTACTGGATGGCTTGGGCTGCTCCGGTGTCAGAGGATGTTGAGCCTCCGGTGAGCATGCCGACGCTGCTCAGTGTCTATGTGTCGCTGGCTCTTGGAAGCTCGTTGTGCATCCTCGTAAGATCACTGCTCCTTGCAACAGCTGGGTACAAGACAGCGACTTTGTTGTTCAACAAGATGCATTTCTCCATATTCAGAGCTCCTATGTCTTTCTTCGATTCCACTCCCAGCGGGCGCATCTTGAATAGGGCAAGTCATCTTCGTCGGACTCGGATCAAATGTTGTTAGTTCAATTTCATTTGCTTGTACTATGCTAATTCATGTATTCCAAAAAAAAAAACTTGCAGGCTTCAACTGATCAAAGTGAAGTGGACACCAACATTGCTGACCAGATGGGCACTGTTGCATTTTCCATCATTCAGCTTGTCGGAATTATTGTGGTGATGTCTCAGGTTGCATGGCAGGTCTTTGTGGTTTTCATCCCTGTATTTGCTGCCTGTGTCTGGTATCAGGTACTTTTTTTACCTATCTTATCGTCCTCCATGTTAAATAAACTGCAGGATCACCCACATGTCATCTTACTTAACTTGTTGCAGCGATACTACATTGACACGGCTAGGGAGCTGCAAAGGCTAGGAGGAGTTTGTTATGCTCCTATCATACAACACTTTGCAGAATCAGTAGCAGGGTCAAGTACCATTAGAAGCTTCCGCAAGGAAAATCAGTTTGTGTCAATAAACAGCCGTCTAACAGATGCTTACTCTCGACCCAAATTCTACAACGCTGGAGCAAGGGAGTGGCTTTGCTTTCGTCTGGATGTGCTGTCATCTCTTGTATTTGCCTTCTCTTTGATCTTTTTGATCAATCTACCAACCGGTCTCATCGATCCAGGTATATATCATGTTAATTTTGAACAATGTTTCTAGTTCTACTGGTACTGGATGGATGGCAGTAAACTGGATAGGATTTGATGTGGGTTCTTAAGCAACATTACGAGCGACTTTCAGGTATTGCTGGTCTTGCTATCACATACGGGCTTAGTCTGAACACGTTGCAAGCACAGGTTGTCTGGAGTATGTGCACATTGGAGAACAAGATTATATCAGTGGAGAGAATTCTACAGTACATAAGAATTCCTACAGAACCCCCGCTTGTCATGTCAGAAAATAAGTTGGCTCATAACTGGCCATCTAATGGAGAAATTCAGCTTCATAATCTCCATGTAAATCCCTCATCCTTTTACCCTCATGTTCTATCCTTTTTTCTCTGTACTAGAATAGTGTTCTAAGAAATTAGTGTGATGCAAAGCAATACTAGATTTTTTTTTGGGTTTGTTGCAGGTGAAATATGCACCGCAGTTGCCGTTTGTTCTGAAGGGCCTTACAGTTACTTTTCCGGGTGGCATGAAGACCGGTATAGTTGGAAGAACAGGAAGTGGCAAATCAACCCTCATTCAGTCCCTCTTCCGTATTGTGGACCCTACTGTCGGTCAGATACTAATAGATGGCGTCGACATCTGCACAATTGGACTGCATGATCTGAGATCCAGACTGAGCATCATTCCACAAGAGCCGACGATGTTCGAAGGAACTGTCAGAAGCAACCTTGACCCCCTAGGGGAGTACTCTGATGATAAAATCTGGGAGGTAGTTTCACCTCCCAAATTTTACCTAAGTTGCTATGACATTCTATTTTATTGTCTCAAAAGGAAAGAAAATAGTTGAAATGTCAATGTTTTACTCTTGATTTCCAGGCTTTGGATTGCTGTCAGCTGGGGGATGAAGTTAGGAAGCAGGAGCTGAAGCTTGACTCACCAGGTCTGAATATGATATATCCTTACATCAAGTCATGCAGTTCAGAGTTACTACTTTCCTTCTTTTCTTCTCATCACCTTGTATCTTTCACATGTTTTTCGATCGTAGTGCTGGTTTTGCCAAAATGAAAGAATGGAGGCACACGGTACTGATATTCTTGGTTGGATTGCAGTGATAGAGAATGGCGAGAACTGGAGCGTGGGCCAGCGCCAGCTCGTGTGTCTTGGTAGGGTAATTCTGAAGCGGAGCAAGGTTCTTGTTCTGGACGAAGCCACCGCTTCAGTGGATACTGCAACCGACAACTTGATCCAGAGAACACTGAGGCAGCAGTTTAAAGAGACGACCGTCATCACGATAGCGCACAGGATCTCGTCCGTTCTTGACAGCGACATGGTGCTGCTCCTTGACAATGGTTAGTGCCACAGACAGCAGTTAGTACTAACCGAGTAAGTTGATGCCTTGGGTCTTATGTTGTGAAGTGTGATGACGCTGTGCTGTTGCTTGCATTACAGGCGTGGCCGTCGAGCACGACAGGCCCAACAAATTGCTGGAGGATAAGTCGTCTCTGTTCTCAAAGCTCGTGGCAGAATACACCATGCGGGCGGCGCATACATAACATAGCAGACGATTGAGGCAGACCGAGTTATCCAAAATGACTAAAATTTACTTTTACCAGATTGCACTAGTCCAAGCACAACCATGGCGATCTTCTCAAAAGAAAAACCCAACTACAAGCAGCGAGAGGGATTACAGAGCAGATGGGTAGAAGTTATCACATTAAAAATAAAACTCATAAATACAGATACTTGGCAAATTATTTTTTATTTTAACAGAAAAGTTAATATTTTAATAAAAGTACATGTCAGGTTACATTTTCAGAAACTATGTCTTTTCATCACGTCACATGTAGGGGCAATGACTAAATGAATACTAGTAATTGGCACATTAGTCATGAACTAATCAACATATTAGCACTTATCAAAACTAATTTTGCATCATAAGAGCCTAAATGTATTTACTAATAACTAAGATAAAAAAAATGTGGATGAGCTCATTATGTTAAGTGAGGAATATTCCCTTTTGGTGGTCACTTCTATCTAAGTCACCCGCGAAACAAATACTATTCATCCATACATTGTTATCTTTCATCCAGGGTGTCCAGCGAACCAAACACACCTCTAGTTCGCCCACCAACAAAAAAAGAACAAGAATTGATGGTGTATAGACACAGGAAAAAAAAGAGCAATTCATTGAGCAGGAGGATGGTGGTAGCATGGTGACAACCTCACCAACTCCACAAAGAGGTTTAGGTTGAGGCAATGCCACCACGCAATAGATCTAGAAGCATACAAGAGACAGAGTAGGCTATGCCAACATAGCCATTCACAAGAACTTCAATTCTTTTTTTGATTTAAGAACTTCAATTATTGAGAGAGAAGTGCTATGGTACTCATCTTTTCAAAAATTGCACGCATCTTAAAGCGGTCCATCTAGTTATCCGATTAATCACATGTCTTAATTATTATGAGTCTGCAATTTCCAGCCTCTGTCTAGCCCAAGCCCATCCACATCGCCGGTCCCCTTTGTTCGGACGTTTGGTTTGTGTGTTTGCGGCGGCAAGGAGCGGACTTGGTCGACGGCTCATCCACAGCGGCACTTGCATCCCCTCTGAATCCCTTTTTCTTCAATTTCGTCCATTTCTCATAACTAATTTATCTTTTTTTCCTCCAACATGCTTAATATGTGCTTCATTAAAAGGAAAACTAATTTATCAAGCATATCTCTTTATCGGCATCACCACCTTTGTTGTAAACGCCACCAAACTTGATTTTTTGTTGCAAACGCCACCAAACTTGTTAGAAAATCAGATGGTTGAGCAAACACAAATACCCACAGAACTGATATAGTGGCAATGCAAGATAGCCAACAAAAAAAAGTTGCGGATTAGCAAAAGGAGCGAAGAAAATACCAGGGAAGAACTCAATACGACTAGCACAAGAAGAGATTGAGAAAAAGCTGGCATGTTTGTAACGCAGGAATTTCACATGAATTGCGTAGAAATTTCACAGGAATCGGTTCTTTTTCACGAAAAAAACGCAGGAATGAGGATGACGAGTTTAATTGCCGTGTTCCAAACAGGGCCTAAGAGATCTATCTTCTGTCAATTGATGCTTCAAGGTCAGACGAGTTTAATTGCTTAGCACAACAATTCGATCATTTGCTAACCGACCACAAGATGAAAGCCCTAGTGGCCTCAATCGAGCATAGGCAACCCATAAGGCCTTAGTTCGTTTCTACCCCAAACAAGGCCGGGATGAGGATGACATAGTTTGAAGTTTCTTTCTCGGACAGGCATTATCCAACTTGCCTTTCAACCTGTTAATGATCTTTTGATGGTGTCAGCCTTCTTTTTGGTTCTGGCTTCAGCAAAAAATACAACAAAATTCATTTTTTCGAAAGATCCGTTACCGGCTTTCATTGATAAGATTAGAGAATAATTACAGTAAAAGTTCAGGCACAAGCTACGCCAACACCCATTTATGCTCGGGGCTCAGCTAAGTGAGGTCCAAGCCACCCCTGGTTTGCCTGAGGACTAATTTACATACGTTGGAGAAACAACTAGGCTATTTGCCATTGTTGGCTGATCCTCTACATGAGACTGGACATCGCTCTCCCCAGCCATATAAGTTGCAGCCCTTTGTTTCCTGCATGTGCCCACGTATTAGCTTCATCATATATGGATTCTATAATCTTCTGCACTTGCCTGGATTCTTTCCTGAAAACTCTGATGTTTCTTTCACGCCACACTTCCCAGATGGTCAACACGATCAGTGATCTCAGCTCCTCCTTCATTGTTGACGGTAGTATGTTCATCATATGAAGAAACCACTCCTTGGCATTATCTGCGTCTTCCCAATTTGCTGGCTGCAGGCACGGTGCTCTCACCCAGAGCCCCACCCTTTCCCATATCGTTTTGACCACTGAACACTCGACGAATAAGTGAGTTGCAGTCTCCAGGTTCCGTATACATAACTAGCAGAAATATTCATTTGGCCAATGCCTCACATGCAGCCTTGCTGCTGTCCATATCATGTCCTGGAGAAGCAACCATATGAAGAACTTGCATTTTGGAGGTGCCTTGGTCTTCCATATAAACTCGGCCGCATCGCATGTACCTAGGTTCCGAAAATGCAGATCATATGCAGACTTAACTGAATATTCCCCATTCGACGAATGAGTCCAGATTATTCGGTCTTCTTCCGACTGCACAAGGACCCCTGATTGTAATTTGTCCCAAAGTTGGAGGTACTCCGCGATAATTTGTTGTCTCATATTATGGTCGATATCCCTGACCCAAGTATTGTTAGTCAGCGCCTCCACCACAGTGCGATTCTTTCTCTTGTTGTGTTTGAACAACTCAGGGAATAAGTCTGCGGGGGCGTCTCCGTCTAGCCATCGTGATGTCCAGAAGGAAGCCTTGCATCCATTGCCAAGGTCCACCTTAGTCGCGGGCTGAAAACGCGCATGTCTTCATTGTCAGCTTGAAGTTGCAGGCCCTTCCAAGGACGGTCCCTGTCATCCTAGGCATACCACATCCATCTTAATCGTAGCGATCGGCTAAAAGCCTCGAGATCCTTGATCCCCAGTCCTCCATTTACTGTAGGTGTACACACTTTCATCCATGCCACCTTACACTTTCCTCCGGTGAGCTGTCCGTCACCGGCACAGAGAAAATGACGTCTGAGCTTGTCTAGTTCCTTTATGAACTTTTTGGGAGGTTTGATAGCTGTAATCAGGTATACAGGTAGCGAGGTAACCACCGGCCTTATCAACTCCTTTCTTCTAGCAACGGTGATCAACTTCCCTTGCCAGCCAGCTATTTTACCTTTTGCCCGATCTTGGATGTACTGGACATGCACCATTCGTATCCTCCCTAGATTCAGAGGCAGTCCTAGGTATTGGATAGGGAAGTTCACCCTGACGCCTAAGAACTCCCTGAGCACCTCCTCCATATCTAAGCCTGCACATCTAATCGTAGCCACCGTGCTCTTCGTCATATTAATGCGCAGCCCAGTAGCGTCCCCAAAGGCCTCCATAATTTCCATGATACAACTGATGTCCTCCCTTTTCAGGTTTGTAAAGATCACGGCATCGTCTGCATACAGGAATAGCCTCATTTTGGCCTGATGTCCTCTAAGAGGCGTTTGCCTCCCCTCTTCAGTGGCAATATCAAAGATCCGGTTCAGGACATCCATAGCAAGGATGAACAGATAAGGTGACAGCGGATCACCCTGCCGCAGTCCCCTTAGGTGGCTGATTTTTGGACCTGGGCTTCCATTTAACATGACTACGAAAGAGGACGACCTGAAGAGCGCCGCTAACCACCCTGTCCACATGTTGCTGAATCCTCTCTGCACTAGCATTTCTAGTAGATATTCCCATGAAATAGTGTCGAAGGCTTTGCTAATGTCCAATTTGATGAGACATGCATGTGTCTTAGTACGATGGTAGTGCCTAGCCAGTCCCCGAACATAGACATAGTTGTCCTGGATGCAGCGTTTCTTGATAAAAGCACTTTGGGCCGGCACAATTAGCCCATCAATGTAATTAGTTAACCCGATGGCGAGCACCTTGGTGAATAACTTGGCGAAGGAATGAATGAGGCTAATAGGCCTAAAGTCCTTCGGCTCTGACACCACATCCGCCTTCGGTAGGAGGACCAACTGAGCCCCGTTGATGTGCTCCAAGGCTCCGCAGTGATGAACGTGCATGTTGTGGAAGGCAGCTAGGATATCGAATTTGATGGTTCCCCAGCAGCGTTTGTAGAAATTGTTTGTGAACCCATCGGGCCCGGTGCCTTGTCACTTGGCAGGCACTTGATGGCGTGCTCCACCTCCTCAGCCCCCATCATCTCCTGCTCAGCTGCAAGTTGTGCTGCTATTGTGAGCGCCATAGCACTGTCCAGGGAGTTCAGCATGCGCACTGCCTTGATACGTTGATCCGTCATCGGTGCGTCATAGGACCTGATGTGCGCCTCCATAGCCTGCTCCCCAACTGGCTCCGCTGGGCCAACCACCTCGAAGGCCTTGATGAGGCGGTGGGTGGCCCTCTTGGAGACTAGCACCGAGTTGGTAAGCACTGCCGCCTGGTGCTCCTCCTGGTCGACTCCTTCCTTGCGGTCTTGTTTCGGCCACCTTTCCCTTTGGCTTGCTGGTCTCAGGCGCCTCCAGCGGCAGTTGCTCACATGGCACAAAGATGCTCTCTACAATGCCGTTCCTACGCTCCTCTAAGTATCATGTCTGCCACCTGCTCAGTGATTGCCGTCTCCCTCAGCTGACCCCATACCTCTTGAGATAACTGCACTCCAGGACCGAAGTGCACTACATTGTTATAGCCAAGTGTTGTCGCCTCCTCATTCAGATCAGCCACCTTGCTCTAGAGGGTGGAAAATGGGGTGTAGTCACATGCGAGCCGGGGGCCTCCTCTGGTGGGAATGGCGGCGGGGAGAAGGATAGGCGCCTGCATGTGGTAGAACCGCTTAATATTATGTTCTCCTAAGAGTATTTGTCTTCTATTAGACACGAAGTACCCAAGAGAGTGTATTAAATCATGCCG